AAGGCGGATTTATACACGTTCCAATTGGTTACCGTTGTTGCTTCCATTGTTTTTTGTAGGACGGCGCATATAAAATGCGGATATGTGGACCAGGCGGTTTCATATTTTTGAAGCGACGGAAACATTTGTTTCTAATGAAATATCAATCCTTTGCCACCAAAAAGTATCTTTTACGCTTTCTCGTTTTAATCGGAAATGGCAAAGCTTGGCATCTTAAGGTCTAAGGTAAATTTTCATATCAAACTTGTAGCGAAATAATTCCCAACGTGAGGTGTTACGTTTCCCGCGCCTTAGTAGGGGTGGGTCAAGGGGAAATTTTTGGAGGAGAGGGCAAGGCAAATTAAATGCCTGGATTTGTGATTATATGTCGATGAGAAATGATTGTACTGGAAATGCGAATATAAAAACCATTTTGAGATAGTCAAATCCTTTCGATGTTTACCCACTTTAGAAATTCTATTCGATTCTTCTGATGTAACGTTAATGTAACAATCGACAACAAATATAGCTAACATGTTGAGTGTATTATTCATTGTTGACGGTTATCCACCAATTAACATGTATCATAGCCTCCTGGGTAATTTTTTCAATGAAGTTTTTTGGGATGCAGAGGGGTTCTAAAACTCTAGAACATCTGCCAATCTGTGAAAATGACAAAATTGACTTGGAGCTGCCTATCTAGCCTAGTGTGTCTATATCTTTCTTAATTCAATTTTCGGCAGTGTTTAATTTTATTATACTGAATATATTTTATTTACAACAGATGTGCCTCGTGAAAACATTAATAATATGCAAATTTCTCCTATGTGGGTTTATTAACGTCGTAGTTTTATGATCATTGGCAGTCAGTCATGTGGAGCTTAAAATCCAAGAATGTATATAAATGTTCGATTTACTTAGGATTTGCTACCGGCTTCAATTTTATAGTTACGTTGACATCAGTATTCTGCGGTAGCTTGGTTACGGATGTGCTTTTCATTACAATGCTACTCATTCAGTAGGAGTCCAGCTACCTGTAATACATGCTACTTCAATCATTGGAGTTTGAAAATGACTTGACGATATCAATCTTCTCTTTACGAATTTTCATTTTAGAACCTAGTATCTTCCTTACTGGAGCCACCATATTTGATATCTCCTTAATGACTGGAATTAATACCACACGGTCTTCACGAAATAATTGATTTTCAACCCAAATTTCAACTTTGCAATTTCTGTTTCACGAGCCCAAACGATTTGATGGTTCTTGACATTTGATAGCACAACTAAAGCTTCATTCTTTCCAGTTACTACAGTCGGGTTTTACCTCTCACGCCTCCTGGCGAGGAAGTATTGTAATCGCTAAAAATTTCGAAAATGAGATATTATATACGAGCCCCTTCCCACTTCAGTTGGCCCAACTATTGAAATCTTAGTTTTTTTCTCATCAAGCACAAATAATAAAAATGTAGCAGGGTGCTATAGGTTTAAAATATTAACAATGAATATTTGCAGCATAGAAATAACACATGTTACAATTACAGCATATCAACCCATTTTCATTTCAATGCAAAATAAGTCTATAACGCATAGGTGGCTGTGAAAAATAAAAGCCATGACAATTGTGTTTATTAATCACAGCTGTCAGAATACGTTTAAATTTGTTTTGGGTAGTTAAGGTTTTCAAAATGGGTAGACGAAAGGTTATTAGTGAGAAAATTCGGTAACTGATAATTAATTTTTTTAATTCTGGGAAATCAAACTCAGTTATTGCAACTTTGTTAGACTTATCGCGGCACAGTATGAGAAATATTGTTAGACGATATAACGTTCAGTTAATATTAAGCCACGATATGTGAAAAAAAGTAATATCACAAATGCCGACCGAAGAGCATTAAGAAGAATAATCGTGAACAACAGGCGTGCCAATTATTTACAATTAAGTGCTCTGTGGAGTGACGCTGTTGGAAGGAGAATTTCGAGGTCCACAACTCATAGAGAGGCCCACAAACTGGGATTTAGCACTTGCAAGGTACGTTTTCTTATAAAAAAAGGTGAAGTGAAAACCCTAAAGTTGCACAACTCGTTCATAGGCCAAAGAAAAGCCACTATTAACTCCACTGCAGTAGAAAAATCGGCTTAGATGGGCTAAAGAATATAGACAATGGTAATCTTTCAATTGTTGCTTTGTTAACTTCGCACATTGTTTATTTGTTCAGATGTTCTATTAGTTATAGGTCTAAGTGATTTGAAATATGTATTTTTTACGGCCAGAGTGTATATAGAATGTTTTTGAGAAAATAAATTGTTTTGGAAGTAAATAGTTTCGTCATGTTTAAAAGGCAAATTTTGGTACAAATCTTGAAGTGGGCCAACTGAAGTGGGAAGGGGCTCGTAGTCACTCAATTCTGATGGTATGTCTGTCTGTCCGCTAATCCTTAGCCCGTTAATAACTAGGAAAGCGTTGCTTGGATTTGGACAAAATTTTTACACAAAATTACTACTAAATCAAGGAGGAAAAAGCTATGTAGCGTTTGAAAATCGATTCTGTGATGGCGAAAAAAAGGTGAAAAACGAAGCAATTAAAAATGCTCAAACCTCCTTTTTTGACGTTTAGGAGGACCCTGATGTTTTTAGAAAATTTTGCAGGGGTAAAAGATGGGAGTGGAGGGCTAAAGGGGTGAGGGAGGGTATATCTCAATTTTTTGTCGATGTCATATTTGTACACTTCCAGTCATTCTATTAGACATGTTTTCATATATTTTTCTGCATATCTGCTCCCAAAACTTACCCTTGTGCGGTCGAGCATCGGGAAGAGGCGACGTTTCCTGATAGATGGTAATACCAGCGGGACAAGAAAACAATGTCTATGGACTAATTGTATGGGCCTGTTTGACTGACTTGATCTGTTTATCCGTTTAATTTATCTATTCTCCATGTTGGTGACTAACATTTTTCTCAGAGGGTATATTGTGCTGAACATAAATAATCATTTATGAACTGTTGACCGCGTTGCGTGGGAAGTGCTTGATGCCATTTTTTGTATTTTTTAAAAATACACTTTTTAGCATACTTTGCAAGCAAGACTACCAAATGGTTATGCTAGAACGGGTACAACAGTATAAAGATGAGAAAAGGGAATTGGCAACACTGTATAGGATCCCAATTAAATAAAGTAAAATTGCAGGAATCCCGAAGATATATGGCCACCTAACAATCTAAATTTAGCCCCACCGGTTCGCAATCTGCATCTCTGAAGTATTTGCTGAGTTGCAGTTTCCCGCATTTTTCCTCAGCTACTTCAAAGATCGCAACCGAACGGCACCGAGTCGATAAAACGTGTTTTACAATGACAGTTTCACCTTATTTATGCTAATGTCGCCATGCTTACATGCTTAATTTCGTGTCAGCCGTTTTATCTTTAACTCTCCCAGACGTAAATTTCGTTTCTAGACCTCGAGTGCAGAAACACAGACACGGTTTTCATGTCGAGCTGTTTGTTATTCGATACTCTGTGGCGCTACTTTTGGAGTTGCTCGTTTTTTCCAGAAAAATAACTGGAGTACATCTTGAAGGGGTTTCTGTGGTGGCTTCCAATACCCACTCGCTAACATTGACTTCGAGATAAGCTAATCCTCAAATTCGGTATTTTGTTTCCACCAGATACCCTTTAAACCTGATGTAACATCTGAAACCTACACTGTGATTTGCACGGTGATAATTATTTATGTTTTTTCACGATAAATGACTGTCTGTACTACGTATGTGGTTTCATTTAGAGTCAAGAAAAATAAAGATATCTAATACTCAAGTTCAGTTCAGCTAAGTCGAATAATTTCCTGCTTGAGGTGAATTTTTAACCCCAAAATGTGCCTACTTATCTGAATTTAAAATTACTGAACGTTTAACCCAAAAAATTTTAGCTGCAGTCGTAATTCCCCTAGGAAATTACTATCGTGTTGTCAGATGTAACTTTATCTTATGATATCTCTTACCAAATCGTATTTTGACGTCAACCTTTGCGGTATATTTGAGAAAGGCGGTGGACTGGTCATATACCCGTGCTGAATGGCATGAAATTTCGAATCAAAATTGTTCATTTACTATGAATAACACCAAACAGTATCCTCAGGGTCCTGTCCTAGGAATAGTGTTTTATCAACTGGACATAGATGATGTCCATCTAAATTATCAATGAGTATTTCTCGCGTCCCAAGGAAAAGTTTCGCCAAGCGTCTCTATTCATCACTATTCTGGACAAGAGAATAATCTGAAATTATAATAAAACATTATCAAATAAGTTGATTGACTCGTTTCTGCTCCATTTTGAAAAATATTACCTAGTATTCGAGATCAAAGGTTAAAATATCGCAAAAAAGGACACAACTTCTGAGTTTATAATTTTCTAGAAACCAGAAGAAATTTAAGTGTTTCAAAAATTGCTGCTAGCGAAGAGGAGTAAGATATAAAAATATCAAAACCTTCATATTTGAGGTAAAATCCGTATAAATATCCTAATATAGCTCCAATAAATAAAGATAAATAAGTCTATTAAAATTGAGTACTACGTTAGTAGTGGGAAAATCCTATACAGACTTCACTCAAGAACGCCATTGTGGATCCTCTTTTGATCATACCCACAAAGAAACCGGTGCCGTGCTTAACTGAAATTTGAAATACCCTGTAAAAATTTGATAGGGCCGCCTCCGGCTACCCCAGGACATGACTATTAAAAATAAATCCTTTAATACCATCCACCGATTCACAGAGTTTTATATAAACTACTTAAGTAATTTAAGAGAAATTAAAAATCAGTATTAGGCGACATGAACTTGAATACCCTATACGAGTTTCTGTGTTAAGTGTAATGAAACTGAATAACTGTAAGCTTACAATCACAAAAATCAAAGCGCAATTGAAAATCAAAAGTGCCCAAAACTGACAGATATACTTTTTAACATACAGTATTCTAAACGAATTCCACTTAAAATCTCAAATACCAGTTCACTGGAATGGGGTTCCGACGTTTGAATTTAAAGTCACTGTAATACCTGCTATTCAGTTGTTCAACTTGATCACTATTATCATCATCACATATTTACTTACTCATCTGTTTCTTTTCCACAGTCTAATGACTGCAACTCAGGCGACTGGTTTCCCCCGACACATGGAGACGGTAACCTTCCCTCCTCCAAACTGAAGCTGCTGTTTCCTGAATCCACCTGCCCTCTGGCGGCATTCTCGTAGAAACTGTGACCCCAGTCCAATCTCTTGGAACCCTCTTGGTCTTCTCCATTAAATTTGGTGCCTTCCAGGACATTGTTGGTGCCTTCCAGTACTTTGGTGGGGCGTTTCCCGTAAAGTTGGCGATAGTACTTCTCTTGATCTCCATACATCCAACATACCTTCCACCATTGCTTGCACATGAGGACATTGGCAGACGAGCTGGCATTTTCTCTTTTGACAGCTGTGTTGGACATGCTGAAGGCGACCTGCTTGGGAAATGTGGGTTTGTGGATTGGTCTTTGGGTCAGCGGGACCACTGGTGTGCAAGATGCCTATTGGTTGCGTACGGGTTTGGTTTTGATTTCATACATATATGCAAAAGAGCTAAATGAAATCGAGAATGTTATGGGTGTTCCTTAATACTACAGTTTTCAGAAAATACCTCATTTCGAAGATGCATGGTCATCAAAGTGTTCATAACGGACGAACAACGATACTTATTGCAATACATGTGAAGCTTCTTTCAAGAAAATTGTAAAAAATAGCTGAGCTCCTCCACTGAGAAATCAAACGGAAAATGGATTACGGCTATTTTTTTAAATTTACTATGAGTAGTATAATTTCAGCACGTAGAACAAAAGCGGTCAGGAGCTCGACATTTTTCCACTAGCGGTTTCAGTTGGATCTTTTTAGGAAAATTTTTTTCTGACTCCAATATTTTTCATTTTTTAGTGTTGTTGTTAGGTATCCGGTCCTGTTAAAAAAAACCTAGATTCAGACTGGACACTCTAAGAAACAAGAAGTGTACTGAAATCAAAATTACCTAGTAAAAGCTCAACGTTGAGGTTAATGACCTTTCGCTACTAACACTTATGGTTTGAATATTCTGCTTGAATGGCTTTTTGCGATCCGCAGAAGTTTTCACCATTTTCGATACCTAACAGTCTGGAGAACTAGGATTGTACGGAGCCCACGCACTTTTATAAGTTTTCGCAAATAAATACGAATTTCATGTGGAATGACAACAACTGTCAAACCGACGGCTTAAGACTGATCGAGTGGTAGTATGAACTTTCATCCAAACTACAAGCTATGAGATTTTGAAGACAAACTAATCATAGACTTGCTCTTTCTACCTAGTCTGAGTCCGTATCTGAATTCAAGCCCGATAATTTTTTGGATGCGAGAATATTGAATTCGGTTGGCTATCTTTAGGTAGAATACGTCAGTAGTATTAGTTGTTTGATATTTATTTGCATTTATATCTGCGTCCCCACTGGTCTTTTTGCCATCATTGCCATTATATCACACCTACAGGGTGGCACAAACATGCAGGTATGCAGTAGTGCCACGAGACATATTTTAAAAAACTATTCAGGTTTATCCTGCACCATCCCTATGAGAACATATTTCAAAAACGTTTTAAATTATACAGAGTGGCCCACTACGCAGGTGAATATCAAAGTAATGTTTTATAGATAATTATAATATAAAAAGCTCATGCGCTGTTCTAGCATATAATCTATCTCTTAATCAAATTTCATCCAGATCCGTTCAGCCATATTGGCGTCAGTGAGTAACAAACGTCCACACTTTCTGATTTACAATATTAGTAGGGATTTTAAAGGTATCTATCAACAAGGGAAATTATTTATTCAGGTCATTACTAAACACCCTTTACAATCCCTATTATTCTTGAAATATATTCCCACCTTTGGCGTTGGGGAACTGGCCAGTAGGGTTGATAATAAGAACTAATTAATTATATTATCAATAAATATCAAGCAGCTACTACATATCAGATACCGAACCCCCAAAACTCGGTAATAGAGACCTGGCTGCCGGAAACTACTTGCTAAGAAAAATTGTACTATTGGACAGTTTTGTTCTACGCCTTGAGAGCTAGAACACACAAAACTTACTCCAATATACTGTAAAGCCTTAAAGCTACGCATAAGGCAAATAATTTTAAATAAATTAAGAATAGTACTAAGAATGAAATAACCTTTAAAAGATCAACGATCATAGCAAAATGCTACATATTTTTAAAAGCTCTTTACGGTTCTAATTACAGACTGTTTGAAATTATTTAAAGTAATTATTATCTTCAAGTGGCATTTGTATCTCACGGGAACCTTCATGATAATGGCGTAAATATTTTCCACGGCAAGATGTGGAGCTCCGTATCAATTATGGTTCATCATGATTCATATAATATTGATCCAATGATGGTGTACTCTTGAATACTTAATTGTCAGGTTCATAATTATTAGCAACGGGTATAGGTCATTATCATAATGCATGTATGTATGAGGTTATGATTGTAATTTCTAATGATATTAACCTTATTCTTACTAGGAATACGTAGTTACCGTACTTCAGTAACGTATATAGAAGTTCGGGAGGAGGCGGGTAGTAGACCGACAGAAACGAAGCGGTGGTATGTCCCATTTTGAATTTAAATTTAATTAAAAAATTAAACACTCAATTACCCAAAGTTTCTTGGGATGAACATAATATTTCAGTTTTCTTTTCCAGTTTTTTATTTTATTTAAAACTCAAAACTAGCTCTTTACTGTTTTATGAGGAAATTTGCATACCTTTATATCACTGAGAGTGAGAACAGCACAACTTTTATGGATATTTTTAGTTGCTACGAAATTGTAGATTTGAAAAGATAGTGCAAAAGCGTTGTTTACCCGTTAAAGAGCATGAAAATGTCATAAGCTTGCTTTTCTGACAAAAGTACGCAATACTGACCGCTAGCTGATAAAAAGCAAACATGGATCTCACTAGGAAGCGCAACAGACTTATTCTCCTGTTTTGAATTAAAGTTCCATATATATTATGACCCATCACAAAATAGACATTTCTTGATAACTCTCCATTTTATACGAAAAGACAATTAATACTTTGAGTGGAGATATATATATATATATATATATATATATATATATATATATCCGCGTCTATTTACTGTTAGTATTTCCAATAACTTAAACTATTGCCTTATTTTTCGGTTCATCAATAACTAGACATTGACGATACTTTGAAGACAGTGTGATATTACTACATCTTCAAAGGCATTGTCATAAACCAATATAGTTATTGTTTCATATCTTTGGTTTCTATTTAGTATTATTAAGGATTGCGGCCTTCCTCCAGGCCATGCCTTGATCGTACCGCTTAAATATACAAACATTGCAAATCCAATTTGGAATTTAATATTCTCCGCAGCGGCTGCAGATCATTCTTTTTATATTCGCCACTCGCCGAAGCGATGATCATAACATCAAAAGACGGCCGGCAATAAACCGCGACAGCAGCAAGTCGTACCTCGACGGTACTACCTATATTCTTGGCCTCGTTTTCAGCACCAATGTAAATACGCCGACTGACCAACGTTGCATAAACGTCGGATTAAAGTTGGATTAAAGGGATAAACCAAACAGGATTTCGCGGAAATGCGTGGTCGGTTAAAAGATTGTTGAAATACCTACCAAGTTGAATTGTTTATTTTTCAGTTACCAGAAACCTACCAGGACATGTTAGGAAGAGAATCATATCAGGAGAGATTAAATGAGATAATGAAACTTATTCTGTGGTTTTTTATGCTAATAATCCTCCATGTTTGTCTGGCCGCTAAATGAAACCTCATAGATTTGAATAATTGCTTGTTGACGCAACGTTTCGGCCAGCATGGTAGACTTTTTCAAGTACTTACAAATGACAATTCTGTCGACAATATATTTTGTTTATCTGTCCTCCAGGTGACAGTTCGTTTTTTCCGGGTTCACATTCCAAAACACTGTGTTTCTACATGAGTCTGAACGGTTCTGTAACATGCTGATATTGTGCGAAGCTATCATTGCAACAAGATTGTACTGTGCAAAATCATAAAGCGCTGGGGTAGGCATTCCTGGTCCCAACGGAAGATCCAGCCTCCCAAAGTGTCAAGCGAAGTTGAAGTTATCTGTTGTCTTTTTAATGTACCATACCCAATACCCTTGTCCGAGGTCCCAAAAACGTCAAAAGTCATGAACATTGTTTATGGATCTAAAATCCTGGAAACTATATGACATCGAAAGGGAACTATTTTGTTCGCGTTGGTTTCTATGGTAGACAGGCAGTCGGTTATCTCCCCCCAACAGAAAAATTAATGATGATGGATCCTTGGGGTACTAAGAATTCTGGACGTAAACTCACTCCACTCTCGCAATGTCCGTGTGGAGGTTGTACTCGAGGGAACAACATTTGAGATAACATTTGCACCGATTAACCATCTTAGCTTCCCAAATTACGAGGTGCACTCCAATCTGAGAAAGAAGGAGGGAATGGTGGCTTTTGTCCGCAGCAGTTTTTCCTGCTCCAGGAAAGTTTCTTTGGAATCAGATCGGAAAGACATTCTGTGGCTTTGCCTCAACTCCAAAACATCCACCAAACTCATATGCTGTCTTTATCGCTCTCCCTTGGACCATGATTGGGATGACCTACTTGAATGCCTCGATATCAAGATCGACTTCCTGAACATCAATCATCCTGCCTCAGAGGTAGTTCTCCTCAGTGATTTCAATGCCCATAATGCGTTCCCTCTTACTCAAGGGCTGACCCAGCTGGTGACGAGCCCTAATTTTCCCCGCGTCTCGTCACATACCAGTAGCATATTGGACCTCTTTCTGACCACACATACTGTCCCTTACAGCACTGCTGTCCTGCGCCCCCCCGGGTTACTCAGACCACGGTGCTGTGGAGGTTAGGTTTCAGTCAGAAGCCGCTGTGGCAGCAGAAACGCGACCAGGCCGCGAAATTTGGCATTGCGGACATCCCGACTGGGAGGTGCTCAAAGACTTATTCTCTACCTTTCCTCGGAGAGATGTTTGTTTCGCTGACGCGGATGCGTCGGCTATCTGTTCAACAAATCGCGTGACACTGCTCGCGACCAGAAAATTAGGGCACGCAGAACCTTTTTGCAAAGGTGTAGAGAACAGACAAGCCGACGCCGAGTCCTGAAGCAAATATAGCGAAGCGGTTCGCAATGCCAAAGACCAGCACGATTCAAAAGTTAAGCACAGTTAATGTCGCAGCGCAATGGCTGTCGGTCTTTCTAGATGCTGGCTAAGCAGATTGAAAGGATACTTGTCACAGAGTCTTCCAACACTGTCAGGATGGAACGACTCAAAGGCTAAAGCGGAAGTGCTTGCCAAGCTCTTTGCTGCCAACTCCACCATGGACGTCCCCGCAACGCCCAAGAGCT